ACGGTGAGAAATAAAATTAACTTGTCTACCTCACTGTAATGTTATGAGGATTAATTGGATGAAACTCAACACACACCACACAGTGTCTCATTGCAGCTTGTTTTCTTATCCTACTAAAAGCAAATCAAAGACTTTAGTCTTTCCTGGAATCTCCAGGTAGACTGTTTTATGAATTTAAAGAGAATTCCTTTCACAGTGTCATTTTTTTTCTACCCCAAACTGTATCTAAAATAATATTTTTTACATCATTACTTCTCATCATATGCATGGCTTAAAATACATGTATCAACAGGGCATATGGTGTCTACTTGAACATTAAATTTAAAATCTTCTCCTTTCAAAATATTTGCTTATTGAAGACTATAAATCCATCCTAGCAAAATGTTAAATCATGATACATAATTTTTCCTTTCAAAGCCTCAGAGACTTTTTTTCTTCAGTGGAGAAGGCAAGAAAAATCTTTACAACTGCAGTGTTGCTACTTTCCAAACTGCATTACAGTGACTGGCTTCCAGTGACAAAGAGTTGCCTAAACTACTATTGCATCTCAAAATAATTTGTTCCCCATAAAAAAAAAATCTTATCTTTCCTACATTTGCCAAATTCCCTCCTTAAACTGTTTGGCATAACCAGCAATATTGTCATTCACTCAAGTCTTAGCACTTTCTACAAAATGACTGCTGAAGTGTTCATCTGTTGGGTGTTCATACTGCCCAGAGTTATCAAGGATTCCAAAGTGCATGTTATCAGCTGCTACAAAAAGGCTATAAAACCTGTCATCTTTTATGCACCAAATGTGACATGAAATAACCTCCAGAAATACAGCAGTGGCAGCTAGGGTCACAGGAGTGGAGATTATACCTTCTGATTAGCTCTCTTCACAGAGTATCAGAAATTTAACCTGAGATTAAAGACAGAGCTTAGTTTCATTCTGTGAAGGCAGAATTCTCATACTCTGTGCCAGAAGATGCCTTTGAGATATATAGATATAGATAGATATATATATATACTGGCATGAAATAAAAAGACTTCGTAATACAACTTCAAACAGAAGGTGAGATTTTAAACTTACAGAAGATAGAAAATGCAAAGTTACAATTCTTGCAGTAATCATGACTTGGGCTCACTCCTGCAAGGTTGTGTACTGTGGTTATGCTCCAATGAGGAAGTGAGACATGCCAGCAATCTCACTCATTTCAAAGGATCTGCTCATCCAATTTAATTTAAACAACTTGCTCAATCATTTCACTTAATCAAAAGGAGATCACTAAGCACTTTGCAGATCCAGGACCCTTATGTGTATGGAGAGCATCAGACAGGTAGCATTAAGGTCACAAAAATTTTTCCTTACAAACCACACAGGCAATCATTTAGAACTTTCTGGTATTACCAGATTTGGTGAATATCCCTCCAAGTGCTCAGTTATTTGGAAGCCATTGAGGGGTACAAGAAATGGTTATTAAAAAAATAATTGATCAACACTCTTTTCTATTGCTCACATTCTAAGCAGATTTGAGTAGAAAAAATGAAAATGTTTTCCATTAAAAATAAAAAGTAGGAATTTAGGAAACTAAGATAGTTCTGAAAACAGACTACAGAAAAATCACTTGCTGTTCACATAAAACCCGTCTGACAGTGTTTTGACACATATCATCAGAGGTGGAGATTTTGCATCACTTTGCACAAATTCCAGCTAAAGAAGCTGCATAATAAAGGCTCACAGATTGAGAGAAAATGCCTGCAAACTGTCTGAAATATGAGCAGAAGAGAAACTGCTCTGAGGCATGGTATCATCCTTACTGCCACAGAGATGCACTTGCCCAATTTCAGTTCTGCACCTTAGCTGCTGCTAAAGTGCAAAGCTGAGAGAGTCTCCTTCCCCCAGAACTGCCCAGAGAAGACAATCTGAAGATGATACAGGGCTGTTTCCTCCCTGAGTGTCAGAGCTACCTACAGCACTGCACGTCACCTCTCAGAGGCAGGGAACCACTACACAGCTCCCTTCCACCACCGTGGCAGCAAATGTCAAGCAAGAAAATATATTAGCTTTCTTAATTTTCTATTAAAATAAAGTTGTATTTAACTGCTTCACACTCTGCACCACACCTAAAAACTGTGCTGAGAAAGTTTTTATCCTACAAATCTTAGTTAATTTCCAAGTAGCAAGACAATGTGAGAATATAATGTTCCCTTGTTCAGCTATCCTAGCAGACAAACGTTGAATTCTGCATAAAAGACACATAATGATTAAAGATAACTCATCATGGAAGGCAAATCATTTTGCTCCTTTGAGATAGAAAAGACTGAGACAAAAGAAAACTCCAGGAAAGCCCCTTTGAGGAAAATTTGGCTGGAGTTTTTATATTTTCTCAGATTTAGCAATGAAACAAAATCCCAGAAAAGAGCAGAAAATTGGACCATGACTCTGTATGTTCCTGAAACAGATCAGGAATTATGAACTAAGCTGTGCACAAATCTGGCAAGACTAATAGCTGAAAACAAAATATTAACCAGGTAGTTGTTGATGAAGCTCTTGATACATGTAACTCACATCAAGCAGTTTTCAAGTGTGTCACAAAACTTGCAGACACATTAGAAAAACCCATCAAAAACCCATCTACAGAAAGTGTGTTCTAAGGTAAATCACCACTTTATGGAAACTAGCAATGTTTTTTACAGGTTTTATGAACCTTCAGCTCAGCTGATATTGCAGCTCTGAAATTCCTTCCTCTCAGTCCAATCTTTCTCACAAGAACACTAATTTCAACATGGCATAAGTGGTATTTTAGATAATATTGACAGTGCTCAATTATACATCTCAGCGTAGTAATTTACTATGTAGAGCTCAACAATGAGAAGAGGCTTTTTGTACCAGATGGAGTATATGTGTCAGCTTAGTCTCTTACAAAGATGTTAAGACCAGAGGCTCTGATCCTATAAGAATGTGGGTGTAATTTTTAAGCTTGCAAATATATTCATGATATTCAGTTCCACAAGTCTTTTTATGGGCTAGGTATGAGTGACAAAAGCACAAAAAAAGGTGAGAGGGAGAATGAGGACAATGGCAAGAAGATCACATAACTACAATAAATAGAGAAACTGAGCAGTCTGATAGGTTCCAGGTCACTGTATCATATAGACACAAATTTACATATGTGAATATAAACAGACTCCACTGATCTTCACTCACCTACTATTAATCAATAATTTCTAGAAGCCTTCCTGGTAAAAGAGCCTTTTGAAGAGGAAGGGAAAGTAGGAAAAGAACTTTATATTGGAATGATAAACTATTTAGGCAGAATTTACAACACTGATGCAAGTTTAGGGCAGCAGAATTGTGCTTGCTTTCAAAAATTTAACCTTGAATTTTCCACCTATCTATAGACCTGAGAGGTGGCAATTATTTATCCATTTCTCAAGAAGGTGGCTGCACCAGACTGTTCCCTTGTATATATGTTCATTATAATGCATCCAAGACTGTGAAAGCTAAGTAACAATTTTCCAATCCTTTCAAATTGCATTCAATATGGCAATAGGAATAAGTATTATTTAATATCTTTTTTTACAACAGATCTGCCAGTTAGAACTTTGTCCCACAGCCTAAACTGAACATATTACTAGGGCATACACCCCTTCCTCAGGCAATTACAAGGTGGAAAGTAAATCCAAAGTCAGTTATCAAGATTTTTATCTTCTTAGTTACAAACACCTGGAAATTAGGAATTACAACATAATGGTGGGGCAGTAATAATTTTATGGTTATGTAGGGAGTGAAAATTATACTGTTTTGTGGTCTGCAGCTTGGTATGTTCATTCTTAGAGTGGTGCCAAGAGCTCTATTAAACTCAGAAAACAGTGCTAATACTCAAATCCAAAATCTTAAAACTCATAAAGATGGCAAACAAGTATTTTAAGCCCTCAAGCTCTAATCCTAGGGAGTCTTGAGATATCAGATCTAAAATTCACCTTGTCAAGCATGTCCTCACACTTCATAAATCTCTACAGGGAAGTAATCTAAAGTCCAGTGAAGTCAGGGGGAAAATTCTTTCTGCTACTTTCAGTGGGTTTTGGATAGGGCTCCAAAAAAACCCAAAACTCAAGGAGAGCTACAGGAGACCATATAATTTTCCAATGGTATAAATCATTAATCTATGACTCCTGAAGTTCCTGAGATACCAGTTTATGTTGAAATCAAAATGTAGGGTGGGAGGGAATAGGTACCGGGGTCAAGGGACAGCAAGCAGAATAATATGATTTCAAAACATAATCATGATTGGGGAAGAGCAACACAAACAGTCTCAGAGCCCATGAACTTTCCCAGCACCAGTAATCAGAGTGATATTTTAATGGCTGCTATATTTGTGGGGCAATAAAAGCACACAATTTTGTTGTGTTGCATAAATAACAGAACTGCTCACTCTCCAATTTTTCTGGCAATTCAAGCACAGATAACTTAAAATTTTCACACTTGATAAATTATGTGAGTTAAGAAAAAACAGATTTTACTAAGCTGCAGGGTTATGGTGGGTACACAGAAGCTGTAAACCTGAGAACACATACAGTAAGCATTTTCCAACAATATAGCTCTACGATTAAAGCAAAGGTCTTCTTAGAGTTGCAACACATCCCAAGTTGTGAAACAGGAGCAATTTGTTTAAGTGACAAATGAAAACAGCTTACCTAATCCTTTTAGAAGATCCTATCAATTAAGAAAAAAAATGAAAAAGGTCTTCAAAATTAAAAAGCCCACCTTACAAAAACCAAGTGATTCTCATAATGTTTGTATTCAAACACAGCAGGACCTGTGGGAGCCTAAATAAAACTACCAAGGTAATTAACATTGGCTTTTTTCTACACAGATATCAATGTAAATACATTTTTAAGTACAAACACTCAGTTCTGTTGGAGCCATAACTGACAGTTCTATATTTTTGGGGTAGTTAGTCACATCTTACCATTTAGCATTCAAGTAATCTTTTTTTTTTGTTAATCAGACTTACATTGTTTTTTCATCTCCTTCAGTTGATCCTTAAAATACATATATTTTTCATTCTTTTGGAAATCTGAGTCAGTGTTCATGCTCTCCAGTGCAGTGAATTTTTCTTGAACTAAATTATTTAAATCAGGTGTATTTTCTGGTTTTTCCTGTTTTATCTGTAAGGAACAAGAAATAGAATGTTATTCATTATGACACATTTTAATACAAAGCAATAGACATCAAGCAAAAATCATTAGCATAATCTCAGTTTCTTCTGACTACAGTTAGGCTTCCTGCTCTGAAGCCATAACCTCCAGGTAATTAGACATTTCAGTAAAAGTAGCTATGAAACGTAGAGATTGACTTCTCAGTGTCATTAACTCAGTTTCTGGGTATTTCTCACACTAACAATAGGGAAAACTGAACCCTGCAGTCAAATTTACTTTGAGTATTGAAGGTTAACATGTTGACAACAACCAAGTAACAGTGAATGTGGATGAAACCAAAGAATAATAACTCTGTCCACAAAGTGAGAAGATGACTGAAAAACAAATATTTTTTTCAGACTTTTCTAAAATCCTCCACTCTCTCACCATTTTGGAATCAGCTTTGCAGAAGTTATAATCTACATGCATGATTAGTGTGATAACACCAGCAAAAGCAGTACAGCTAATGTGAAAGGAAACCACCTCAATTTATCTGTGCTGTGTGAACAAGAACCATTATGCCACACAGGCATGCAAAAACACAGTTTCTTGAAAAGCACTTGCTTACAGCAATTACATCTGGAATGACCTGAAGAATAAATGACTAGAAATAAAAGGGAAGCCATCACATAGGCAATGTTAAGATATTCTAAGAATGCAAAAAGTACTTTAGGAACCTCCTGAAAACAATAATTAGAGTTTTCCCTTCTGTTTCTCAAGTGAACATTAAATTCTAGGGAACTGCACCTTTGAGAGGTCTTCATAAGAGCTACCTTACAGGTAGTGGGGACTATGCTGTGCAATGATGATCAGCAACAGCACAAAGTTGGAAAGAAGACAGATACCTGTCAAATCCCTAATGCTAAGCATTTTCTGATCCAAAGGCCACTTCTATCCCAAATTTATGACAAAACATGACAATCTGAAAAAAAGGAGGTCATCACCATTTCTGCTGAGCCACTCTTCCCCTACTGCACACGTTAAATTCTGCCCCTCACCAGACCATGGTACTATTCATTGTGAAAGACAGGAAAAGAGCCTACTGAGAAAAAAACAGTTCACTTCCTCAAATCATTTACAGGTTTTAAAGGTTACAGAGACCTTGGAAATCCTACGGAATATATTTTATTTTAGGAGGCAAAAAATAATAAATGCTCATGTAAAAATGGACTTTGCAGATATATATAAAACGCTACATAGACAAGAAAACTTTACTGTCCCTTAATCAAGGCAAAGAAATCCATAGAACTAATACTTCCTCTAAGAGCAAAGCCATTTTGGCACATTTACTTTAGGCAGATGCAAGTTGTGGCGAGAAGAAAAATATGAAAAAACATGCTCTGCCAGGTGATAGCATGCAGTTTTCAAAGGCACCTGGAGATAAAAGATCACCTACCAAAACATCCAACTGTGAATGGGAAAGGCTCAGAAATACCTTGGTACCAAAGGAGCACAGTGACTATGAAAGACCAACAGCATGTGACCAGAGATACTCAGACTGCTGCTTAAAGCCAAGCAGTAGAGCAGAGTCCTTAACCTACAAAACCTGACAAAAGGAGCAAAGGAAAACAGAACATCCTGTGCCCAGCACAGTGAGGACAATCATACACACTCTAATGATTTGCCTGTGTCAGCATCACAGTAAACTGCTGCAACACAAGGCCTATCACAACCACAGCCAGCATGGTTCAGTACTCAGCCAGAGAAGAAACTTGGCCATCAGGTGTATGCAAGCACAAGAAAGCAGCTACTAAATCAAAATACTTTAAAATACAAGACATTATAAAAGAATGCTTTGATCTGGATCACATGTAGTGCAAACATACTCCTTCCTGCAACATCAGGCTGTTTTAACAGACATTCTTTCTTTAACACAAAAATAATGTGCAGACACACTCACAGGCATAGCCCAAATAACAACCCATCACTAAGATTTGCCCTGATCATGACTGAGAGTATTATGGCCAGATCCCATACAGAAGATTGAGCTTTGTATGCTAAAAAAACCCTGAGATGCTTCTAAGTTGCTGATACTTACACAAAGAGTAAAAGAAATTATATGGACACTCATTACAGACATCCATAAGTAGCAAAGACAATGTCAATAATCTTTCCTCTCCACAAGGACCATGTTACACATTGATATAGTTACATCAGGTTCTTCTTATCTTTTTCTTGAGTCATGAAAGATTTCAGTATAGATATGCATCAACACAGCATCTTCAATCATACCCTGAGTGAGAGGTGAAGAGAAGGGCACAGCCAGTGTTAGTTCAAACAGTGGTGCTCTCATCTCCAATTTCCAGAATTAAAAGACTTTACACATATGAGCAGCAAAAAGGCAGGAACTGTAACTTATACTGTTATGCTAGCAAAAAGGATGTTATGTTTCAGGAACTGCATTACACAGCTCTACTCTGTGCTGGTGTGGCTTCACCTGGAGTCTTGTGTGCAGTGTTGGGTGTCACAACATAAGAATGATATAAAACTGTAATAGAGCACCCAAAGAAGGGCCAGGAAGACAGTGAAGAGTCTAGAAGAGAAGCTGCACGAGGAGTGGCTGAGGTCACTTGGTTTATTCAGCCCAGAGAAGAGGAGACTGAGCGGAGACCTCATCACGGTCTGCAGCTTCCTCACAAGGCAAAGTGAAGGTGCAGGCACTGATTTGTGCTCAGGGAATGGCATGGAGTTGTGTCAGGGGAGATTTAGGTTGGATGTTAGGAAAAGGTTTTTCACCTGAAGGCTGGCCAGGCACTGGAACAGGTTCCCCAGGAAAGTGGTCACTGCACCAAGTGTGTTGGAGTTCAAGAAGCATTTGGACAATGCTCTTAGGCACACAGTGTGATTTTCAGGGATGTCCCGTGAAGGGCCAGGAGCTGGACTGGATGATCCTTGTGGGTCCCTTCTAGCTCAGGATATTCTATGGTTCTGTGATATGCACATGAATGAGCTTTGTCTGTGCCACTGTGGAGCTACAAAAATTTGCATGTAGACATCTGTACTAACCTCAAGAGAATGCTTATATAAAACCCTCCCTTAGCTGAATAACTATAATCACACAGCTTGCTGCTATAGATCTATCAAAGTAAGAGCCAACATGCTATTTGCTAAAGGCAGCAGGAACAATTCCACCAGCTAGCAAGAGAAAAGAATAAAGTCTTTCACACCAGCTATATTCCCCAGTAGCAACACCTGACATGTGTGAGGACAGTCCAGCAATGCAGCACATACGACAAAGGCTCAGACAACCATCTAAGGCTGAAACCTAAAGAGTCAGATGAGAGAGATGCTCAAAGAATCCACTTTCCTGTAGTTTAACTTTCATGTTTATGATTTAAATTCAGTTTCTGTTCACCTCCACATGATTGCTTTCATTAAAATGATTAGTAGAGACACCATTCCTGACCACACTCAATACTGTACCAACATATACATACCAATGTATGCTATTACTGAAATGCCAGGTAAACCTTCTGGAAGGTCAACACATCGCAGGTGAATAATAAGGCATGTCCACCCACTATAATAACAAGTAAATAAGTTTGCTGTGCACAAGCAATTTCTCTTTGGTGCTGCATATCCTATTCCATGAAGAGGGTTGAGAATGGTCTAACACTACAACATAAATGATAACAAATAAAATGTACCACCAGTCCTTGACCCTCATGGTGGGACAGAATTACATCATCTGATGCACTGCAACAGCACAACACCCTTACAGGTCTTTAGTTCTTGCCACCCACCCACTCCTACTCTACAGATTCTTGATGGATGTAGGAATGATGAGATCAGCATAACAAACGTATGAGGACAATAGAAATGTAGGATATGGCTAAGGGACAGGGCAAAATTTGTGGTATTTGGGGCAACAAGCTCCTGTTTGGGTCACACTCCTTCCTGGTCTCAGCAACGTGTAAGATAAATGCTTACCAAGAGACCTGAAGCCACTGGCATGTTCAGTTTCTCACAAAAAAAGTTACTTCACACGGGAACCATGAAAGACATGTTAAGCAAACAACTGTTCATTTAGTAGCACTGTCAGCCAAAACCAGCATGCTAAGTAACACCTTGGAGTCATTAGTCAATCCATTGAGAGCTACATTGATTTTGAAATGGGGTGGAGGCATACACACCCTACAAAGCATCCTGGAAATTACATGTAACTATGAACTGGGAGTGTTCAGGACATATGGTGAAAAGAAGTATCAGTCACAACAGCTTGTTTACAGCAATAGAAAAAGCAAAAGCATCTGCTGAGACATACCAGCAAAGAACCACATGGGTGTTTACATGGGAGCTCAGTAATAAGGAGAACAGACATGTTACACATACATGATCTATCAGCAGTCCTGATAGGAAAACACATTTAGAAACACTAAAAAAAAAAGTTTAGAAAAACGTAGCTGTGGTTTACCTATCAAAAGATACATGTGCTCATGGCCACACACCACACCACCTGGCCAGAGTGATATGTGCAAAGAGGTTTCTGTGTTTGATGGGCAATGCTTAAGAAATGCTTCGTGTGAGGTCTTTGACTTCTGCCAATATTTGTCTGTAAGGATAAGCCTTCCTCTTGTAGATTCTTCCACTGGGAATGTGTCTATTCCATGCATAAAGTGTTAAGATTATGCCTCCAAAAATCAGGCCTTTTGAAAGCTAAGCTTGCACAGCCCAAGGGAACAGTAAACTCAGTGTATTCCAAGGGGCAGTCTGGGGAAATTTTTTCATCAATTACCATAACCATGAAATGGGAAATCAGTTATTTTGTTCCAGACCAATCTCAGAACCAGTAAGGTCAAAGGAACTGTAGCCTAAAATTGGACTAGTATGCAATATTAGTCTACATACAGTAAGGGATCAGAGTCTAAAAAGGCACTAATTAGCATAACCCTGCATGCAGCACTGCAACATTTAGTAATTGTCCTGCCCAGTCCCAAAACACTTTACAAACATTAAAGAATTTAGCCTCA